TAATTGTATAGTTTTTTTTTTTCATTTTTAACCTCCTGCTTCAATCCTTAAAATCTCTTTTTTAATAAAAATCATCAAACTTTCTTTGAAAAAACGAAGGTACTTGGAAAGTATATGCATAATAAATATTTCCTTGTAGTACATGTAGAATTAATTAATCACAGATTCCACAAAAAAACCTCTATTGTTTCAACGTTACATTCATAATATATCTTTATTAATACTAATACTTATATAAATACTAAGAACAAAAGGCATAGAAATGAATATGCTTTAGAGCTCAAAACAGAATGCATAAGCTGCCTTACCTTATAGTAGAATTCGGGTGATCCAAATCTGATTTCTTGACGGATTCAATAATTCTCAAATGAGGTCAAGCATAAAGTGCGTTTTACAGATAAATTAGGACAAAAGCAGGGCTCGTATCACAGATTATTGCAGTTTATTTACATTGATAACAATTCTTTACTGTGAACTTAATATGAAAGATAGCAAATAAATATTTGTCTACAAGTCCCTTTTTATAAACACATATGCATTTGCTTGAAATTGACACACATTTTCAAATATCTTTTTTCATTCTCCATAAAAAAATGAAGGTCTTCAAATGTTATTTTTTCAATACATGTGAGCGAAGTAATTTCCGTAAACACCGACTATTGATCTTATGCCGCAACAAACCATGGCGCAACACATGATCTTGCAAACTGGGGATTTGCTCATTGAAGTGCTCTTCTTGTCTTGAAAAAAAAATCTGGTCACCGTTGTGCTAATACAAGACTTTTGATGGGAATTCCTGAATCAGTAGTGAAGTTTCAAAGCATTAGTTGTTGAAAATACTGCAAGAGAAAGATGATCTGCTAGAAAAGATTAACACAGATATTTTTCAAAGATCATATAAAAAAGAAGAGATACATTCTGAAATTGAGGAATTAGTGCCGGAGATTAAATATTATATTTAAGGGGGCTGACTATAGTTTTATTGTGTGAAAACTAAAATGGCGAAACTCTTCATTTTTTTACTAAATATAACTTACATTAATTCTAGTGTACATGCAAAGTTTGGGGGAAATCTACTGACCTACTGTTTTGGTCATCACTCTCCGAAAACAAAATATGCATCGACTCACAAAGTTTGATGATTCTAAGCCAATAAATACCTAAGATACTTAAATATAGCCATAAAATGTCAAAAGTAGGTTATCGTGACCTACATTTTGGTCGACATTTTTCAAAGACCCAAGATGCATCTACTGACCAAGTTTGATGATCGTAGGCCTGAAGGTAGTCAAAATATGCGTTTTAAACAATTTGAAAACAAATGTCAGCATAATTCAAAAAGTAGGTCAGTGACCTACTTTTTCATAAATATGTTTTAAGGTCCCAAGATGCATCAAAGTACAAGATTTCATGATTCTAAACCTCCCAGTGTCTGAAATAATGGGATTTAATGTTTTTAAAAAGATAAGTCATAAAGTTCAAAAAGTAGGTCACAGTGACCTAATTTTAAGTTGACATTCTTTTAGGATCCAAGATGCATCAACTGACAAAGTTTGATGATCATAGGCCTTAAAGTGTTCAAAATATGCCTTCAATTCAATTTGAAAACAAATCCCCGCAAAATTTAAAAAGTAGTCACTGTGACCTACTTTTGAGTTAACATGATGTGAAGTCGTAAGATGCATCAACTTACAAGATTTGATGAACCTAGTCCTTATAGTAAGCAGAATATACACGTTTTTATTAATTGTAAATTTAGGTCAACTTTGAAGTGACCTTGAGACCACGCCCCTTTCCCCAGGGTAATTCCCCGTGCAAATTTTAATCTTCAACATACCCTGATCCTTGTATGTAAGTTTGGTGAAAATCTGCCTGGTGGTTATGGAGAAGATTTTTTAGCAACCAGTACTTTTGGTTTTGTTTTCCTGATTATCTCCCCTTGTTTAAGGGTCCCAACCCTTATTTTAGTATAAATGGTAGCCCTTGGGCCAAGGATACCCTGTGACAAATTTGGTACTGATTGGCCAAGGGGTTCTTGAGTTATGGACCATATTCTAAAAAGTTTACGCACACTGCACACCGCACAAATGGCCATAGCATTAGCTCTTTGAGCCTTTGGCTCAGAAGAGCTAACAAGAGGCCCATGGGCCACATCGCTCACCTGAGTAACTTGGGTGATGAAGTTCTTTACCCGATTTCCCCTCTTGCTATACCTATCATGTCCCCTTTCATGAATATAATACTTTAGAATCTAAACTAGCAAGGATGCTTTCACATAAGTTTCAGCATTCCAGGCCCAGTAGTTTTTGAGAAAAAAATTCTTAAAAGATTTTTCCTAAATATATCTATGTAAGACTTGGATTCCCTATTGTGGCCCCGCCCTACCCCCGGGGGTCATGATTTTAATAATTTAATATCTACTCTACCCCAGGATGCTTACACATAAGTTTCAGCTTTCCTGGCTCAGTGGTTCTTGAGAAGAAGATTTTTAAAGATTTGTTCTATACATTTCTATGTAAAACTTGGATTCCCTATTGTGGCCACGCCCAACCCCCGGGGTCCATGGTTTTAACAATTAAATATCTACACTACCCAAGGATCCTTCCATGAAAGTTTCAGCTTTCCTGGCCCAGTAGTTCTTGAGAAGAAGATTTTTAAAGATTTGTTCTATACATTTCTATGTAAAACTTGAATTCCCTATTGTGGCCACGACCAACTCCCGGGGGTCATGGTTTTAACAATTTAATATCTACACTACCCAAGGATGTTTCCACATAAGTTTCAGCTTTCCTGGCCCAGTGCTTCTTGAGAAGAAGATTTTTAAAGATTTGTTCTATACATTTCTATGTAAAACTTGAATTCCCTACTGTGGCCCCGCCCAACCCCCGGGGGTCATGGTTTTAACAATTAAATATCTACACTACCCAAGGATGCTTCCACATAAGTTTCAGCTTTCCTGGCCCAGTGGTTCTTGAGAAGAAGATTTTTTAATGACCCCACTCAATTTTTGTCTTTTCTTGATTATCTCCCCTTGTAAGGAAACTTAGCCCTTCATTTTTACAATTTAAACTCCCCTTCCCCTAAGGATGCTTTGTACCAAGTTTGGTTAAAATTGGCCCATTGGTTCTTGAGAAGAAGTCGAAAATGTGAAAAGTTTACGGACGGACGGACGGGCGACGGACAAAATGTGATCAGAAAAGCTCACTTGAGCCTTCGGCTCAGGTGAGCTAAAAATTAGCTTAAAGCTTTTAGCTGATCAAGACTCTACATGTAGAAAAATTGAAATCTTCATCAATAAAATGTGATCATACATGTACCTGATGTACTAGATGAATCTGTCATCCTTTTTTTCTTCTGAGGACAGTCAAGCACAGAATCTAAGAAATTTCATTATGTTTAAAGTTGCTCAAAAATGAAAGAAGTATTTATGATTTTTCAGAAAAGTAATGCATGTCTCTTGGAAAATGAAAATGCATATATATAATGCAACTACATTTAGATGAATAAAATTCAAGGCTATATAAAAAATATAAAAAGTGTATATCATCTTTTTACATTGTTTCTTGTTTGATTCTTATTTCATTTATTCAATTGATTTCTAAAAAATTCTTTTTGTAAAACTTTGAATGATTTCTATACTACCAAACAAAATTTAGATCACAATAAAGAACTTACCATCAGCAGATGAGGAGGGGAGAGTACACATACTCTGCTGGGCAGGTTTATACTTTTCCTGAGTTCTGGGAGCTTCTGCTGAAATAAAATTAAACATTTTCACAGAAATATTTGCATTTCAAAGACAGTGCATAGAATTTCATCATGCAACTACCCCTTGCATTGACTAATAAAGGTAACATCATAAACCAAAGCTTTATCGGGTCAATGTCCTAATAAATCCTTGTGCACATATTCCTACATTCTAAAGGCATTGTGACGTCACTTTTATTGCAATGTTTGTGCAGTGGTGTCATAGTTTCCTCTGCAGAGATATGTCTGAATCAGGTTGAAAATAGTCCAAGGGGATAAAAACACACAACTCATTAGATAAAAATCATAGCCAACTACAAATCATGGGAGATCCTATATGTAAATTTTAGATTTACCAAGTTTAAATGTGTATTAATGCATTTGTTTTGTTCATATTATTTCACACTTGTCAACAACAAAAAGTCATGAAACTGCAGTATACCATGAGATGAAGCTCCTGGGAATTCAATACATTTACTTGAACTTCCACATTCACTGGTGTCAAAACCACCTTCTATCCCAACCACCATGCTATCATCCAGGATAGAAATGATCTACAATAAAGTTAATGAGCGATGACAAAATATCACTTATAAGGTATCTATCATGTACACATTCATTAATTCAAACAATATTTACAGGTAATATCTAGAACAGAATATGTAAAAATTGTACACTTAATCAATTCACTGATGTATTATGAAGCCATGGACCTATATGCTAACATTATTATAATTTAGGTCTCTGATGTAGCAAATTAACTAAAGTGAGGAACTATTTATTTTCTAAATTTCATTTAAGGAATGAAACTTATTTCAACTTATGTTATCTGATATAACATAACTTGGGGCAGTTTATGCTTTATAAACTGCTTCACGGTCCCTGCCCTCCTGGGACCTGAGGGGTGGGGTTATGTTATATCGGATAACAAAAGTTGAAATAAGCTTCATTCCTTAAAATTTAATTTCAGTGTAGACAATGAAACAATATTTCCTCCAGAACAAAGCTTCAAATTGAGCATTATTTTAATAGTAACGTCAAGCGGAGTAATACGTTTTTGACGTAACTCATTGTGACGTAGACGAGTTATGTTATACAAAATATATGTTCCTCTGAATGATTCAGCCATGAAATTGCTTGATACAAGTGAAATTAAATTATTTAAAGTTAAACAGTTTAATAATTCAATTAACAACATTTTTTTTTGTTATATCTCAATAAGCATTGGTAAATTTTTATAAAAGAATTACATTTTATACCTTATCTTCACATGGCTTCAGGTTTGCTGGTGGTGGACCTCCCCCAGTTTTCTTCTGGTCTCTTCTCCTCTCTGCCTCTCTTTTTTTTGTTTTGCTCTGGATGTCTATCCACTTTTTCTTGATACTTTTAACATCTCTCTTTGTAACACTGCAGGCATTTACACTGAAACATAAGAAAGAAGATTGTACCAGACCTGGCCTGGCTATGTGTACAACACTTGACTTACCTCAATTTGCATGATCCGATGATTCATGCAGTGATAAGCTTATAGGTGATACAAGATCTTAATCCTTGGGGTCGTCATAAATGCCAAAAAAATGCATGGATTTCAGTCCACATTCAGTTTTGCAATACTTCTATTAAAGCGCGATCTTAACTTGACGCAAACGCCAAACCACCATTTTGTGTGAAGGGAGATTCCCCGATTCTATTGGTCGATATATTTATCCTAAAATTATAACTTACAAAATAATTACGGATGGCTATAGTAGAAAACGACGGCTTATCTTTAAAAACCATATCATTGCAGCCTTAACAGAGTGAATTAAATTTAATGTCATATTATCTCGAGAAAATAATCATATGTCAGTATGATGATGTTTAATGCAATTTTATAAATATTTTTTCTTTACCCCCCCCCCCCCCCCCTAAAAAAAACTAAATATTCATGAAGGGTTTTATGGGAAAAAAATACAAGGGGATAGGTCATTTAAAAAACATTTTTTAGGGAAAAACACAAATTTCTTTTTATTTTTATAGGATGATATGGTACATTTTTCTCTTCAACATCAATTTCTAAATATTGACATATACATGACGTACCTCTCCAAGACTTCCTCCCATGCTTGGGCTTTTTTCTCAATCGTTAAAAAGGGAGAAAATTTTCCCTTTATGGTGTCAATTCTATCTGTGACACAGTCAACGAGGGCGTTGATCTCCTCCTGTCTCCAATTTTCTTTCCTGGACATTTCGGAAATAAATCGTCTGCGCGTCATCGCGTCTTGGTTCGCGCGGTATCCAAGTTAGTTTTCTTACCTTTAAGCGCTAGAGAGTTCCTTTACGACTTGCGAGGAAAGCTACGACTTAGGAGTTACGACATGCGATTACGACGCGTTTCGTAAAACGGTCCTACGATTTGTCGTAAGATCGGAAAATTTAGGACTTACGACTTACGATTTACGACTTTTTGTAAAACGGGCCCCAGATATTTTGAAGGACCGCCTCAAAATACAGGTACATTTACTATAGGACTATATAGAAAAATGCCAAATTTTTGCACTTTTAAGCAAATTATACAAATGCTACAATAGACATTTGATTCAAACTATAATATTTTATATGTAATACTATATTATACAATATATGTAAGAATCACAAAATTTTACCGCCTTGTTAACAGAGGGTGCATCTCAAAATAAAAAAAAAATAGCAAATTTTACTATTTTTATAGAGTACGTACTACAAAATTTGACGTAAACAATTGATTCACAAGAAAACATAATAAAAATATTGGAGGTATTCTAAAATTTCTATGTTTTAAATTTCAAGAGCGTATGTTTATTACTTTTTATTTAATAATATTTTTATTACCCCTCTCTTTAAGAGCTACAGATTAACATAACGTCAAAAGGACTTCTTTGTGGTTGAGGCACTCCAAATTAATGCAGGGTTTGCTTTGACCATTTTCACTTATATAGACAAGCCTTATAAGTTTTTTTGTACCCACAAGTTAACAAATGTACAGATGTAGAGGCTGATGGATCTTCCATCTCCAAATAATCTCCCAATAATGTACCAGTTTTGAGAGTATACATTAACAAAATAAAGACGAACAGTCACTGAGACGTTCTACTTTCCCACTTAAACGGCGAGCGAACGATGACCCAATGGTAAGCGAACTCTGAACGAACACAAAGCAAACGTTGAATGAACGATGTGTGGACGCTGAATGAAAATTGGTGAACCGTTCGAATTTGTGAAGGGTTACCGGTGACCGAACACAGAACACGAACAAAGTGCAAACTCGGGCGCAATGTAAACGGAGGATGAGCGTAAGATGAAGGATTTATTCGGAATGTCAGTTAACTTCTCCTTGCAATGAAACCATTCTTTTGTATTCTAATGGTAGGTGCTAATAAATAAACGAATAATAACGCAGCACAGTTAAGGTTAAAGTAAGGAAGCGGGGCCTAATATTTAGGGACACGTTTCCTATGACGTCACACATTATATAAGGTCTTCAAATACAACAAAATGAAAATATTTGCTATTTCAGATAGCTGGATAGCTTTATACTACATAAATCTTACTATAGCATGCAGATTTGTCGTTTGTTAAATCTCATACAACACACAGTATATAAATGATACATCGATCTCAATGCAATTGTCAATGTGACGTCATCTCGCAAAAATGAAGCAGTTTTTACACAGTGAGAGGCTGATCATGTCACATTTTGTCGAATGAAAAATGTATTTTGTTCTCAAATAAAATATTAATTCCAATAGAATAAAAGTCCACTAACTTGGATGCGATGTCTATTTTAGTATAGATAGTTTTCAATAGGCCAGAATTTAGCGAGAGTTATTTCCCGTTGGCCGCCATACTGGAGGTCCAAACGCTCATATTCCTTCATTGTTCAACCAATTTAAAAACATTATATTTGCTATTTTGAGTTTGAAATCATTATTTTCTGAAGTATATAAATTTTTGGGAACCTCCTTTATTTGTTAAAATTATTTTTTATTAAAGATTTTCCACCAAATATTTCTGCTACAACCTCTTATACTTAGAAAGACATAGAGGGAAAATCACAGAGTCGATCTCCAATATGGCGACCAACGGGAGGTAACTTTCGCTTTATCGAAAACTATCTATTTTAGTATTTAATTTATAAACTGTCCGTACATTCTCCAGACAAGTGATATTGTCGTGTGTTTGTATGCAGATTCATGAAAAAGTAATGGAAGGGCCCTAATAAATCGATTTATTGCAAGGACATACTTTCACTATATCCTATCAAGTTTTACACATAAAGTCAAGAAGCATTAAGATGTTTGAAAAGTGCTGCTTACCTCGTGAAATTAAGCAAATGAATTAATCAAAGCTATCATCTAATGAAGTTGACCAGCAAAATATTCAACCTGTTGTCCAACAAATTAAATTTTAGCAATTAAAAAAGGGAATCTATATAGAATCGCTGCACTCTTCACAAACTACATGTAGTTTTGAAAAGGATTATAAATTAAACTAAGATTTTTAACTTGGCTATGCCCTTGCAATATTAGAATTTATAGATGTCCTATAAACTGCAAGAATAATTGCTTAAATCGTGTGACATCGACATCAAGTGACAAGTCTAAAAAAAAATCTAGATTTCCCCAACATGTAAATTTAAACCACATTACATTTTTTGATATAAGTGAAAATCCTAAAAAGAGTTGCCCATCATTTAATAAAGTATGTATATTTTAAAAAAAAAAAAAAAATCGCCGATACTTCCATTTGTTGTCTTAACTGTCCTGCGAAATAAATAAACAAATCAATAAATAAAAAAAAATATTTAAAAAATTGACCCAACAAAGACGATACGTGCGCATTTAATGAAAGTATCGGGGACGACCTTGGTTTTCATTTCGCAATATAACGCACTGAATAGCAAAATAGAGCAAATTTCCTCTTTTAACATAATTTGATGAAAATAAATGCAGACAAAATAAGACCTTAAATTATGTTCCCCAAACGAATTAAGGGAATATATTGTTTTTTTTGTTTCTTATTATTAAGATATTTCGTCTGCAAGGAAAACCTTCTAGTGATTCTATTGATTTTTATAGTATGTCGTCCCGAACGAAGTCGGAGACGACATATTGCGGGTCCTTGTCGGAGATGGTTGGGACAGTGTTCCTATAATTTTTCTCAAAGGGGGATCACTGGTTGTAGTTTTGTCGTGTGGTCATTAAGTTTCAAAATGGCTACCGTTGCCACGGAAACCTACGAAAAGCGACGAATTTTGCCTGCGAGTGTTCTTTCTGGTTCCTTTGACATTCTTCATGAAATTTTGTTGATATAATGATTAGTATTTGTAATTGTGCTCATTGGATTTAAAAATTGGAGATCGTCAATAGTTAGAAACATGGAAACAGGGGAAAAGTGAAATTTCTTCAATTCACTTTCAAATCCAAGTACTGAAAGGACTGCTACGAGTTAATGGTTGTCCAAGATTTTTAGTTCCAGAAAACTGTCCATCCAATTGAGCTACAACCTTGTTAGGGTTAATAGGCATGTTGTGTAGATGTATGGAACGTAGGCCATTTCTGCGCATACGCATGAGCTTGCAGGCGCGTGCAACACGTAAAATGACATATACCTAATATAGCTATAACTTGTAAATTTTTGATTGAATGCTTTGAAACTCATTATATAAGGATATTGCATAAGGATATATTAATAGTGTAGATAATATGACACTGTCAAATTAGCACAAGCTGAAGTGCATGCACGTTCGTTTTGCTCTAATTGGCTGAAACAAAATTTTTAATATCTTTTTTGTTTTTTGACGAAATACTTTGAAATCTAAATATAGTCATATATTGTAGGATATCCTACAATATGATATATAACAATCATCATGGAAACACTTGCATGCATGTGTGCTGCAATCTGATTGGCTAAAATTTTAAATGGCTATAACTCCTTTGGTTTTCAACCAAACAGGATGACATTTGTAAAATAGATAGACATAATGGATTCCTACAAAAATGTATGATCGTATTGCATATGGATTCACGTGTGTGCGTGTGTGCACGAGCACTTTGCTCTGATTTTTAAATCAAAGTACTGAAAGGTATGGTGGCATATTTATGCCATCCACATAACTTTTTGTCAACATAATATATCACGTCAAGTCAAGATAACTATAGCGTCAAGTCATGATAACTTTCTGGTTTGTTGTCATTCACTGACTTTTATCTTGTACAGTCAAGATTAGCTATCGTATTTTTGCGATAGCTATCTTGACAAAACGAGATAATTTATCTTGTATTGCGATTAAAATATATTTTGTCATGTCAAGATAGCTATTGCAACAAAACGTGATAGCTTATCTTGACTTGACAAGATATAAAGTCGGTGTTTGTCGACAAACCAGAAAGTAATCATGACTTGACGAGATAGTTATATTGACTTGACGAGATATGCTATGTTGACAAAAATTATGTGGATGGCATAAATATGCCTATATAGAAAGGACTGATACGAGTTGATACCTGTCCAAGCTTAGCTAATGGGTATTGTATAACTGATAAAAAAAATGAAAGTATTGTCCAGTTCGGGTCGACATACGCTATTGCTTGCATTAGCAGACTTTCTAGCTATTATTATTTTACTTCTTCCTGGGGAAATGTTTTCCGCGAGTGATCCTGTAAACTGCACATCCTACTCAGGTGAAACATTTTTAAGGCCAGTAGGCATGTTATGTAGATTTGCGGAACGAAGGTCATTTTGCGCGCACCTGCAACACGTGAAATGATTAATATAATGGATATAGCCGTAACTTTTCTACTTTTCGATGAAATGTTCTGAAACCCATAACCTAAGGATATATACTTAGTATAGACAAAATGACATGGAAAAATTTACAAAATCTCATGCACATGCACGTGCAATTCGCTCTCTGGCTGAAATTAAAGTCTCAATATCTTTCTTCTTTTCTGTCATAGTCCTTTGAAATTTTTAACATAGTAATACATTACGAAGATCTATACAATGATATATTAAAACTATCATAAAAGCATGGGCATCCATGTATGCTGCTATCTAATTGGCTGAAACTTTAAATACATATAACTGTCTTCGTTCTCAACAGGATGAAATTAAGCATATGAATAGGCATGATGGATTCCTACATTATGCTATTTTAAAATTTGAATGCAAGGACATGCATGCGTGCGCCCGCATAATACGTAAAATGACCAATATACATGTATTTCAGGGT